GGGGTTGGACTAGATGACAACCTCTTGAAGTCCTTCTCAACTCTAATTTTCTATGATTCTAAGACTTCCCACATAAATGTGTATTGAAGAATTTTGCCTGCACAGCTACACAGTAATGAAAAATCTTTAACAAATTGTATATTGATATGATTCTAAGTAAATTATAGGAGCTAGCATTCTAAAATGCACCTGAAAGCATAGCAGCAAAGAACTAAAAAAATCCTTGTAAAAGATTAAATCACTTGCTTTTCTCCCTGTTATTGTAAGAAAGAAGATGTTAAAGTAGTCACTCTCCAGGTATAAAGTTGCTAGCCATGGTTCGGGTGTCCATAATGTTGGTGATCTTAGTGTTGCCCACTTTTGCTCTCTGCCTTAACTGATGACTGATATACTTCTTAATTACAATAATGCCGCCGCCCCCCTCCCCCCCACCCTGGCCCCTGAAATTTCAACCTTTTAGGATCTGGTATTTTTCCTCTGTGTTTCAGGTTTAATAACTTTTCATTTGGTATTAAGGAACAAGGAGATAAAATGAGTTGGGCTGTGGAAGAATGGAAAGAAGGTCTTTCCACAAGAGCCCTTCAGAAGATTCAGGAGCTTGAAAGTCAACTAGACAACCTGAAAAAAGAACGACAGAAAAGGCAGTTCCAACTTGACTCTCTGGAGGCAGCTTTGCAGAAGCAGAAGCAGAAGGTAATTTATAATGCATCTTATCCTGTTCACAGACATTTAGAATACTGGTATCAAGATCTTTGCGTTATCCTGTTGCTTTGAGTATGTCACTCCACTCTACAGGCTTTCTTTTTTTTTTTTTTGCCACTTGAAACAGAATCTGTTTGGCTTTATTTTAAAGGTACTGATATAACCCATCCCTTTTCTACATATGATCTGTCACTTATTAAAAAAATCATCTTCCACCTCTGATTGGACTGAGGCTAGTGTCCGTTGCTTAACTGTTAAACTTTCAGACAGGCAATTTTGTGTGTTCTCAGTGCTGCGCATCACACTTCTGTGTGAATAACTGTGGAGTTACCTTGGTTATCTTCTTTCAGATCCTTTCTTCACAGGAACTCTCCTTTGCTGTGATGCATGCAAAAACCTTAATAGAGGTTAGGTCATCATTATACTGTTGCCTAACATACAAGACAACACTGGTCAGTTATTTCCTTGAACATCACTGTAACATCCGTACTATGAATTTCTGCTGTCATAGGTAATGCCAATATGTTGGAGTATGAAGCAGTGCAATATCTGACTATTTTAGTTCTGTTGACAGAAGCCCCTAGAGTAGTTGTAGTTATACCAGCAAAACTGCATTTATCACTGTCTTATTTGCCTCAGGAGGTGTGAAAGGAAAGGACATAGTTTTGGTATATTAGTACAAAGGGCAGCTTGCTGGTATGCCGTTCTCTGCAAAATTGCTTTTAATACATGTAATGTGTACATTTAACTCTAGCAGTTCAAGAATTTTGTTTATGAAACTTATCTGATTGGAAGATTAGGGAGCAAGGCTGTCAGTGATATGATTTTAGGTTTAGTCATCTCATGTCTTGTAAGGGTTATAAGGAGCTTTTCTGGCTTGTGTGGTATTTGGTGTTAGACTACTACTTTAAAGAAATCACTTTAACATGTGCATGTGTCAGAGTGTTGACAAGTGGCAAATGCCCATTTCAAAATTGTCATGCATATGCTAGAAAGATGACAAAACAGCTTTCTGTATAACTAAAGTTTTCAGTACTGTCAAACCCTCTAAATGTAGTGAAGGAAAGTATTTGCATGGCATAAAATAATTTCTTTTTTACAGAAAAAAACATTCAGAGTAAAGTCAGAAGAGGACTAAGGTATTTCAAACACCCCCTCTTTATTCACAGGCTTGATCAAAATCTGAAAATAAGAGAGACATTTTATTATTGACTATTCCAATTAGGTTGAAAATGAAAAAAGTGAAGGAGTAACACTGAAAAGAGAGAACCAGAGCCTGATGGAATTATGTGATAATCTTGAGAAAGCAAAGCAGAAAATTTCACATGAGCTTCAAGTAAAAGAATCACAAGTTAACTATCAAGCGGGGCAATTGAATTCAGGAAAGAAACAAATAGAGAAACTGGAACAGGAGCTTAAAAGGTGAGTATTTAAAAGTGTGTATCTTAAATGTAGCTGTTACTTTTTGTTGAGGTGCAGTACCAGATCAGTTAAGGTACCTTATTTTGGTTCCAGAGGTGTCAGTCTGGGTCCCACTCCTAACTGGAGCCAAAAGTTGTCCCCATCTATCAAGCTGTAAATAAATACTGGATCATTCAGGCACAGGAGCCAAAGGTAGACAGATGTGGTTGCTAGTCTCATCATTACTCTGTTGTTTGCTGTTGGCTACAAAGATTAGTGTACCCTAATCATGCTAGCCCTACAGGCTGCTTCTTGTAACTTGGTTACAGATCTACTTGCTTATTTTCCATTAAAAAAATAAACTGGTTATTCATATTCTTGTTCTCCATTTTAAATGAAGTTCAAGTGTGTAGCTAAATAATTCAGACATATGTGCCTAATGTTTAGGTTCCTACAGTGTTTTTAGGACTCTACCTAAAAGTGTAGAGATACTGGGTACTTTTGCCTCGTATTCATAGTTTTCACTGAATGCAACAGGAAGTCCATCTGTTTTCAGGGTCACTTTTTTTGAGAGGGGCATCACTGCATATACTTTTTCCCCAAATATGGCTACAGTCAGTCTTCTGCTTCTCTACGCATCTTGTGTTGTCTGTTTCTCAATGCAGACATCTTTCTTTTGAGTGTTTTAACATTCTGTGTTCCCAAATTAACACATCATGCCCTTTTGGTTATATAAGGAGGCAAGTACAAACCCCAAATGAGTGAGCAGGTTATATTTAAAGTCTGTAGTACAGGGATAGGCAATGTTTATAGGTAGAATGCCAAAAATACCTGAAACTTCAACTTGTAAGATGTTGGCATGCCAGGGACAGATGGCGGGGGAGCCACAAGGGGCCTGATCCTTGTGACAGAGCAGCCCTGGCCCCTTCTCTGCCATCCACCCTGAGGCACATGTACACTCACCACCAGCAATGAACTGGGCTGTGTCTCTGTGGACCTGGTGAAACCGCTTGCAGCCTCCTGGCTGCTTGCCCCTGCTGCCTGCCTCAGAGCCCAGGCTGCTTGCAGCAGGTGGTGGGGAGGCTACCAGCAGCTGCACTGAGGTCCATGGAGCCCTGGCCTGTTTGTTGAGGTGGGAAGGGGCTGGGGCTGCACTGCCACAACAAGGATCAGGCCGTTGTAGCTCTCTCACTGTCTGCCCCAAGGCATGTGCGCCAAGCAAAATGCCTTTGCAAGCCGCAATCTGACATGTGCCTGGGGTTGCCTACCCCTGCTGTAGTACCTTATTTCTCTTATGATTTAAAACAAGTGAAGAATGTCTTGGAAGTCTTAAATCAGGGGTGGGCAATTATTTGTGCTGGAGGGCCACTTAGGGAGTTTTTGGTGAGCTGTTGCAGGTGGGTGGGGAGAGGGGGCCTGTTTCTTCAGTTTTCCAAAGGCGTGCTTGGCACTTCACCTACTTGTGTGCTTTGTTTTGTTTTTTCTATTTTGTTCACTAATATATTGGGAAAGGTAGGATCCATGAGAATCATGAGTGGCACAGAATCCTTTATGTCAATAGGAAGGTTCCTACCTAAAACACAAAGTTTGGTGTTTTAATAAAAAAAAATTGGTTCAAGACTTGTAACTGTTCCTCTCTATGGAAATCTTTAGTAAAATGTGAAAAATTTATGTAAAGTGAAGAGAAACCAGCGAAGTGTCCTTCCTTTTATAGTTATGTACACCTTACTGGAAAGATGGACGAGGTTCTTTGGGTAGACGTGATATATTTTTTTTTTATTAGACCAACTAAATATTTGGAAAAATTGTTCTTTGCAAGCTTTTGGGCACAAACACCCTTCTTTAAGGACATAAGCAGACTCTGTATAAGCTTAGACCAACAGGGCTACAAACATCATCCCTTAAGTATGGTACATAACTATCAAAGCATTCTTTTTTCAATTCATAAACTCAGAAACTAGTAGTCTAAGAAGAACACAGTGGGGAGATGTGTTCTGCCCATTAACTCCAACACTGTTAAGAAAAAACAACTCATTGAATCCTTTTATTTCTTATATAGCGCTTAGCCTAACTACCTAGTACTGTGGAGGCATACTTTAGGGAGTTGGGCCATGGTTAGATCTGGTCTTCAGGTCAGGCTATGGTTCTGTGTATGTATTTTGTGTGTGCATAAAATATATAAGTCAATTTTGCTTTTCATATTTTAATATATTCTTACAATAGCCAAATATCACAAGATGTGAAAGTACAGGTTCTAATATTAATTTGTATCATACTGTAATTCTGAACTGGTATCTAAAACAATTAACATGGCTATGTGTGAAGCTTCCATTCAGTTTGCATTTTGACCTCTTACATTTAGGAATAGGAGTTCTTATTTCTTCTGGCTAATTCCATTTTATATAATTCCTTTTCAAACAGGTGCAAATCTGAGCTTGAGAGGAGTCAGCAAACCCTTACTACAGGAGATATATCATTCAGTGGCACACCACAGAAGACTTTTACTGCTTCTTTAACACCAACTCAAAATCAGAATGGTAAACTTGTTTCTTCCCTGTGAGACACATAATAGAATAAATATTAAATTCTTTTGTACAGTGGAAAAGGAAAAGTTCGGCAAAGCTTATCTTAAAAGTGTATCAAAGTAATGTGTACATACTTTTTTCCCTACCTCAGTATTATTCTGTAGCTTTAATATCACATTCATTAATGGAACTTTTTATAAGAGCATGAATAGTCATGTATATCTACAGATTTCATTGCAATTTTATGAAATAAAGCTCTTATTTTTAATATCAGCTGCAGCCAGTTTTTGCATAATTGACTTCACAAATGTTACTTTGGTTAAATCTGAATCAGCATGACATTGATGACTGCTCAGGTTAGAAAATTATTTTAAGTTCAGTTGTCACATGGTAGTATGCATGCATACACAATTCAAGCAAAAGTCAGCTGACTATATTTTGTACCTTTTTGTCTTTTATTTGTCAGTGATGCCAATTTTAAAATTTGCAGTTTGACCTATGTGATTTTTAGGGTACACTTTTTAAATGAGCCTAAGGGGTTTGTTATGCAACTATCACTGATTTCCTTTAGGTTCCTTTGAAGATCCCAACTGCAATGCCTGATATGTCACATTGATGCTAAAAATTAATGTTAATTATATGGAAATACTAGGAAAAAAGTCTATTTTCACTTGGCATTATGTGTCCATTGTACCTGAAGCACTGGTCCCTAGGCCTTGCAGTAGTCTTTTCATTGCGGCACTGAATTCCAGATCTCAGTCCAGTGTGTAAGACTGAGCTCCTGAAATGATTAATTTTACTTTTTAGAAGATTTCACCAAGCTTTGTCTCATACATCTGGAGGTTTCTGATGCTGTTGATTTTTATCATTTTTGTTTAAATTTGGGCATAAACTTGTTATCTATGTACAGACTTAATAAAAGTTTCATTAAACAAATTGCAGATTCAAAGTTTGAGGAGCTACAAGAAAAATATAATAAAGAAGTTGAAGAAAGAAAAAGATTAGAGGCAGAACTGAGAGCCAGCCAGATTAAAGTAAGAATAATTTAAATGGTGTATGTAGTATTATTAGTGATATAATGTAAGAAGTGGATAAAAGTGAAATGCCTCAAAATTAGCCAAATGATTTCTGAGGAAAATCTGGTATAATTAAATTTGTTCAGTTTTCATTAATGGCATAACTTAAAAATGTAGATTTTCAGAGATTTATGAGTAAAATAAGCAGTAGATATAGTTCACTTCCTGATAGTTTTTCAAAACTAAGTGATAATTATTTTGACTTTTAGGATTTGTTAAGCATTTTAACCTAAAGAATTATAGGTGGGGACCTACCAAATTCACGGCGGATGTAGAGTGTGCAGCAGCTCCTTTAATCTTGCATGTTTCCCCATGTGCACCTTGTTCCTTGCCCTACCCCCTCGCTGATGATTAGTGGCGGACCCGCTCCCTCCTAATCAGCATGGAAGCGAAAACTGAGATTTTAAACGAGCCATTTTTGCCTCTCTACTAGTTGGTAATAAATAGCAGGGCCATCTGAGGCCTCTCAGTCAGTCTGTAGTGGGAGGCAAAAACAGTGCCATATTTAAAACCATAGCTTTTGCCTGCCCTCTAATCAGGAGCAAGTCGCAAGTGGTGTATGTGTGTATCTATATCTACTTTAGCACTAAGTACGTAACTGATGACGTAACTGATGAGAGCTGATTTTAAGAAACTTGGCAGGAAAATATTCTAATATTAATTTAAAATTAAAAAAACCCCAAAAACCAGACATGCCAGATAAAAGGAACCACAAATCCAACTTCTTGTAATTGTAACCCTCCTTAGCTGACTAGGATATTAATCTGAACTATTTCAGCCAGTTGCCTACTTGAGTATAAAAGCAGCTTGAACTGCATAGTATCTTGCACAGCTGGGTGGCTAGTATTACTATGTCATAAAAAAATTGAACTGATATCTTGACCTATTGCTCTACCATTTCCAACTGGGGTGGGAGGGTTGATAAATACATTCTCTCAGTTTGTCAGATATGGAACTATATAAAGTTGTGTATGCTTTTTCTCACTCTTTTCTTTGACAGAAAATAAATCAATCTCATCTTCAAAGCACTATGAGTCACAGGGAAATTGCTCGGCATCAGGCATCCTTGTCAGTTTTCTCCTGGCAACAGGAAAAGACACCAAGCTGTCCTCCATCCAGCAATCAGGAAACCCCCTTAAAAAGAAGTTTTTCTACCTCCAGTTTTCCTTGGGAACAAGAGAAGACTCCCAGCCATTCTGGCTTGAGATCAGAGAAGAAAGATTTCAACAGAAGTTTCTCTAATAATTCTAGTAATTCTCCAGTCATTGATAGGTTAAAAGCACAAAACCAAGGTATCTTGCATAGTGTAACAATGTCTGTAAATGTGATTTTTAAGGAGAATTTAAAACCAATACATAGAACTTCATTAAAGACTATAAGTCTTTCTCAGCCTTTTAATGACTTGGAGGTCAGCATATAAAATACTATATGATAGGTCTGTTAACATTTTTTAATTGATAAAAACATTCTTCTAGGAAGGACCAATTAGTAAGGTAACTTGGTTTTCATTAAGCTATGTTTAGTCCCTTTTGTTTTTCTGATCCTGATCTTTGTATGGGCATAAGAGATTTTATATTATAAACTTGCAGAATAGGTCCCTATTAGAAATGTGATGTACTGAATTTGGGGATATAGAAAAATGCCATTTAAAATACTACCTTCCTATCGCAGGCAGTAATGACTTGCTATGAGAAATAACCAGTATTTGTTGTCGTCTTTTTGGCAAAGGAAGAGTAAATATGATAAATAGGTTACCTTCCCATTTGTTTCTGAGTTTTGTCTAAAACAGATTTTGAAATAGTAAAGGACCTTGGTTATCAGTTTAAGCTGTTCTTTCTCATGCCTCAGATAGGCAACAAAGGCAGGGGCAGCGTATGCCCCTTGTTAAACTAAAGACTGCAGTAGAATGAGCAGTTGAAGTTTTCTGAACTGAGTGCACTTCTCACCCTTCCCTCACTAAGGGAATTAAAAGGTGCACCTGTACCTTGCCTGCCCCCATGTAGTGAAGGATCTGTATAGAGTAGCTGTAAAGTTTTAACAGTTATTTAGTAGCTGTCTTGGATGAGCTTCTGGTCATCAGCAGATGTGTTGTTTGGTCACAGGGGATTTATGATCATTTCATGTGACATTCCTTAATTTTAGCTCAGTCTCTCTTTGGTTTGAGGTTTTCTGTCAGTTAATTTGGTTAACTTATGGTAGTATTTAGTCTGTATTCCATTCTTTTTGAAAGGATGGATGGGTCTCTTCAGAAGCAATTTCTCTCCCAGCACTTTGTTCTTCTGGGAGATTTCTACATAGAACCCATGAGTCTTAAAGTAGCCTTTCAAAAAATTTTTTATTGGTATTAGTGAAGTCTATGAGGTAAGCTTTCCAGTCAGTGAGAAATTTCACGTTTAAAATTTGGGTTCGGTCCAAATCAAAACCCCCGCCCCCCCCTTAAAATTTCCAAAGTTTACAGTGCAGAAATTTGGGGAAATTTTCATTTTCTAAATATCCCACATGGTATTTCCTAAATGAAATTATCTTCCCAGCCTTCCTTAACACTGCTGAATGTAACTGAGAGGCTGCCCCAGATCAAGGGGTTGTGAAACAGCCACTACCTGGCCCACGGGTAGCTTACAAAGAATCCAGGAAGGATTTCATGTGACCATTCCTTGGATTCAGTAAAAGGTTGTTGAATGCAAGATGTTTTGGTTTCAGCAACTTGGTGTTTCCAACCAGCTTTATTGGTAAATCCTTTTTGTAGAATAGTTTTACAAGTAGAAACATCCACTGGTGATGCACTGTTTATTCAAAAGCCTAGAGTTTCAGGTCAAGGCTTAGTTTATATTGTTGTTATATCTTAAAATTAATTGCATCTGACTGCAGCTTTATAGGGGTTGTCCATGACTTAAAGAAGAATTTTTAATTTTTCTGTCATTGTTGACTTGTGTGTGTGTGTTATATAACAAGCAAGCAGTTTTGCATCCCGCAGCAGTGGGACAGATCATCATAAAAGATTAACACACAATAATTTCTCTTACATGTTAACAGTTTGATGTTGCACTCTATTATTCTTCAGAGGTAAAGGGGAGAAAATCAGATTCTGAATTTCTCTAAATACTTTTATCATGATAATATTAGTTTTACTTTGCAGATATGCAAAGCTTTAATTATCTGAAAAATGAGGTTAGAACTTTAACAAAAATGTCTTCAGCGGAAGCAAATCTTTAGAGCAGTAGTTCTTGACCTCGTTAGACTCAAAGCATCCCTTGGAAAATACCAATTTTTATGTTTCACTTGGTTGTTGACTGGAAAAATAATAGAACAATTCTTCTGTCTCAAAGAACTAAAGACCACAACAGGGTAGATTGTTTTTGATGCAGACAGGATTCCTGTTTGAAATTTCGGGATTTATCTTGTGAATCATGTGTAGGTGCTTGCACGTTTAGTATCTTGAGGCACCTTAAAAGGACCTCAAGGCATTCCAGGGTGCCATGGCATCTGCTTGAGAATTGCTGCTTTCAAGCAACCTATGTCTGCAGTATTGGTGGTCTTTACGTACATATAAGAACCAGAAAATAAAGCTACTAAAATTAACTCGTCTAGAGTCGCTCCTGATGCTCAAAAATATATAACTGGTGACCAGGATGTTTTTAAAATTTGGCATGCTTTAGTAACTCATTGTTATAAATAATATAAAGACATTTTATGAAAAATCTCACTTATTAAATACATTAATATTTTAACATCCTTTTTATTTGTACTTCTCAGGGGCCTGAGGTTTTATAAAATACAGAAAATAAATATTTTTAGGTTGTGTAGGCTGCTTGTAAGTAGCTTTTTAAAATACTAAAACATTTGTCACAATTCTTTTTTAAATTAAGAGCTAAGCTCCAGAGTTAAAGAACTGGAGCACATTCTACAAGTTCAAGAAAAAGAAAAGAAATCTCATATGAATAAACTTCAAGAAACTCAACTTCAGCTGGATAAAATGAAGCAGACATTAAGTGAAAAAGATAATAACTTGAACAAAGGCAAAGATGAACTCACTAGAATGACAGCACAACTTGACCAAGCTGCTGCACAGGTACAGTGTTGCATCAGATCACTTTTTTGGCTTTTTGTACAGCTAATTTCTTGTGCTAGTGTTTGTCAGTTATTTAGCCACAATTACATTTTCTAGATACCTCAATATTGTTTTATTAGCATATACAAAGGAGAAAAAATTATATTAGACAACTTAATACTTTTAATTAGCCTGCCATTTTCTGAAAGGCCCCAAGACCTTCATAGCAGTAACTTGTCGTCATACAGACTCTGGCGGTTAGGTAGGATTCTTTGAAAATCTGAACAAGCCTTGTTGATGAAGTATTGTGGAGCAACAATGACATCTGGTGGCAAGATCTGACCTCAAATGGTCACTGTAAGACAATCTAGGCTGCAATTTAGAATCTACTTTTTAAGCTTCAGTAGGCCAAAGAAAATGGTCCATGGATTCTAAAGGGTAAGCTTATATTAAAAACTAGGTTGTGATGGACTTAAAGCTGAGAATGTCTTACAATATATGTGCTGTAATTATAAACAGTACCTTTAGATATCCAAGATATTTAGAATTGGGGCTTAATTTAAAGGGCCCCTCATGTTTGCACATATGGAAATGTAAAGATAAAGTTGCTTGGTGGGGGAGAGCCTTTACTTTTATGTTTTCATTGAATTCCTCCTCTGGTCTGTCTGCAGTAGGGAAGAGGGGGGGAGGCCTGGCTCTGTGCAGCCTGCCCCGTAGCACCCAATGGCAGCCCCACCACTGCGCTCACTCCTATTTAAGCCCTCTCAGCTCCACCATGCAACTCTGCCTGGTTCCTGTCCCCCAGGTAGCCACTAGTTACCTCCCTACTGCAGCAGCTGTGTGATGCTGCAGCCCTGACAGCAGGTAGCACCAAGCTGGGAGATCAACAGTAAATGTTAAACGGTATAAATACAATTACTGTTTAAACTTTTACATTCCTAGTGCCCCCATACCTCTTTGCACAATCCGAAAATTTAAATGGATAAAAAATGAAACAAATGCTTAAAAATAAACATTTATTTTTAGCTATTTAAATTATTAAAGAAAATAAAAGTTGAATTCCACCAAGTCTACTTTGTCCCTTTTTGTATTTTGCTTTTCCCTCCTGCTTAGTTCAAAGGTGGTGGTGTATTTTAAGAAGAAAACTACTATCCTATATTTTCTGTAGGTATGATTATTGCATTGCACATAATTTTCTAGTAGGGTTTCTGTTTGTTGAGAGTTGGGGGTGCGTACACACAGACAGTAAAATCCCTGTTATATGGTATTCTACTGTCCAGAACACTCTACTAACTGGAATTTCCGTCCAGACGCGGCAGAGGGTGGGGAGGGGAAGCTTGCACGTGGCTGCTGCCACCCGCTACCCTGTGCTGCTGCTGTTCCGCATGCAGCTGCCCTTCCCCCAGTTGTGCTCCGCATCTATTCGGAAACCTGCACTTTTCAGGTAACCAGCATTTTTAGATACCTGGCACCCCCCCGTTCCCCACTCATGCCGGATGACAGGGATTTTACTGTACTAACTTTCTGACTGTTAAGTTGACTTAACGGTCAGAGCATACATATATATGTGGAGCAGGGTCAATTTTAAATGCAGTGCAAGATAATATACCTCTGAGGTGTATTATCTTGAGTCACATTAGTTAAGTCCACTTAGCTCACAAGTTGGTTGCCACCATATCAAGGGAGCTGTACACATATACTCTGACATGGCTCAACTTAAGTCGACTTAGTTAAGTCACCTTATTTTAAGTCAGCTTAGTACGTGTGTATGCAGCCTGGATGCAGGTCTAAGAAGGGTGTAAAATTTTGCTGCATCCTGCCTGTAGGGGATGTTAGTAATTGTACATCAGCATGGCTGAGGGTCAGAGAACTTGCCCCAGGAGCATACAGGAGTTTCTGTTCTCGGCCAGTGCTTTGAGGACCATTAAAGAAGGTAATGGAAATAGGACAAGGCCTGGAACATTGAACTATTCATTCTAGTGTTGAAATAGTTACTTGACTGTGAAGATGTTTAAAGTGTATTCTAACTGTAGCCATAACAAATAGATATGATTAAGGTTTTTGCTTATTGTAACCTATTTTAAAATCATATATAATTAAGGTAGTAAATATGGAACATATGAAGAATATGTGATGATCTAGCATTCAGCTCATCCCAGCTGAAAATAAGGAGAGAGAACAAGTGCCAACTTCTTTAAAAATATTGTAAGTTCTAAGTAGTGTTTCACAGGCAAAGTAAGCAAATGGTTTATCTAGAAAACAGTAATTCAGCCTCTGAAGAGAACATGTCAAATTTGGAAACTATATTTATTAAACAGTGAAAAAGGATCTCTTAAGTTCTGCTTCAAACCAAAATGTTAGTCTTAAAATTTGAAAGTGCTGTTGGTGGCTATTTAATTTGTACAGTACCTTCCTAGCCAAAGGATGCTTCTCTCTTCTCTACCCAATACAATTTTTAGTTGTTTGAATTATTGCTTGCTATATTCTGAGTGTACATATATTTTAAACATCTCTTATCAGAGTCCTCCACTTTCAGATTTGTGTTGCTTCTAAAGCTGCAGGAGTTTCCTTAATAGCTGAGGAGGAGGAGTTTAGTATTATCCTTCTCTGTTTTACAAATACAAGTTGCAAAAGAAAATTAAGCTACTAAAAGAAGAAGAACTCTGGTTATCATGCTTCTTGTATACAGGGGTCACCAAATGTGGCCCGGGCCTGGAACTCTGCCCTCCTAGCCCAGCACCCCCTTGCCACTGTCACAAGACAGTGCACCACAGTTTTGAGGATTCCTGTTCTCCAGCTCCCCAGTACCCATGTACATTATCTTTTGGTTTCCTGCTCTGTGAGATTTGGAGGCAGACCAGCAGAAGAGCACTCACTAACATCAGCTCTGCTTCCACCCCAGGAAACAGGAGCTGCAGAGCAGCAATGTCAGTCCACTCTGCTTCCTCCACTATGTGATAGAAGTGGGGAACAGAGCCACAGGTTGCCACGGCCCCCTGTGCGCTCCCTGGCTGGAGAACAGAGCACTGCATGCAAGTGCAATGATTTTGAAACATGCAGTGGGGAATGTTACAAACATCTGAAAACTTCAACCTTTACATCTGTACAAACACTAGATGAAACAGTGGTTTGGGGGCTATACAGCACTGGGATATCCAAGTAAAGTGTTTTTTTTTTTTTTTTTTTTTTT